AGTTTATTATTATTTTTAATCTTCACTACCACCAGTTTGGTATCTTCAGATGCATGTACATTTTTCAAGCATGCTATGATTATTTTAAGATACTTTTTATTTTTTGTTTTCCCAATGCCAGCAAATGGCAACAGCCGAAGGTCAGATTAAACGATCCGGAGGAAAGGAGCGGCCATTTGTTTTATCAAGAGCATTCTTTGCCGGTTCTCAACGTTATGGTAAGACAACATTCATAGTATATTTGTAATTTTTAAGTTATGTCCACACTATCAAATTGTATGTAACAAATTTATGTCATGTGACCATAATTGTATTTTTAAAGCTCTGTTCATACTCGTGTGAGCAGTTAATGTCTAGTTTAATAGAGTACCACAGTCGTGTCGTCACGATGCCAGGTTGCTCTTTCTGTTGTCAACAGACGTAGGTTACCGTTCATTACGCCTGAATGACTGCAAAGGCTTTCTGGAATAGGCATTTTAAAATCTAATAATTGACCATCAAAATGTACTAGAAACACAAAAAGCTCACATTATATTAGTTATCGAACATGCATTTAATCATCAATTAAAATTTACAAAGAAAAAGTAAGATACAACATCTTAATAGTTATGTTAGAAATTGGGATCAATGGTTTGGTAGTGGCGAAAGTGGCGTCGTGTTGAACGCATTTTGCAACGATAACAACGGAGTAGTTTCACGTGGTATCGTGATGTAAAACTGTAGTACTCTAAAGTGATGATGATGACAATAATAAGGATGATGTTGGTGATGATGAATGACGTTGATTATTTTTATTTATTTTATTTCACTAAAATCCAACAGAGATATACATTGTGCATAAAATTATATCAAAAAACAAAAACACCAAAAAAATTAATAATAAAAATAATAATAATATAATATTAAATGAAAATAAAACCAAAAAGTGCATATATATGTAACAATATTATTTTTATGACAATAAATACTATCACAAAAAAAATATCAATAAATGAATTTGAATTGGAAATGCCATACAACTTAGTAAGACGACAAACAAAAGCATTTCCAGGTGGAACAAAAAATAACGATGGATTTTTTGACAGTGACTGGAAGGATGAGGATGATAGTGGTGAAATTTATTGGGATGTTAATTAATATTGATGATGATAATGATGAGGAGGAGGATGATGTAGATGCTGGTGTTGTACATAGTGGTGATCAAGATGAGTGATGAAGGCAATAGTGATGTTTGAGGGGTGATAATTTGTTTTTTGTTGATATTAGAAAAAAATTACATTTCAGTAAGGAGTATACCTACAGTTTTAGCAACTAACAAAATGCAAGTGACTTCAAAAGCACCTTTCACATCTACTACATAACTCTGATTATTGTTAACTCATATACTTTCCCCACTTAACACCTTCCCCAGGTGCGATTTGGACAGGTGACAACATGGCTGATTGGGATCACTTGCAGGCCAGCATCCCAATGCTACTCTCAATCAGTGTTGCTGGCCTTCCGTTTGTAGGAGGTATGTGCGAATTCTATAGCCTATTGTATTCTCTGGTTAATAATATATACAGTTTCACTTTATTTAAGGCTTAACCTTAACTCATGACTTCCCAATGTACTTTGCTTATTTTTAATCAATGGCATATTGTTTTCCCTTTTTTTTCAATGATTGACTCATAAAATCAAACAGCTTGTTCTTATTTTTTCAAAGTTTATATTTATAATATTACAATTTTTATAAAATATGTTTTTAGGTTTTTAAATCTTTAGTACATTATGTAATATTCTGTTTGGAGCAATGGTTACCCACTTGACTAATTAAGTGTTTATTTGATTAAATTTACTAGCCATTTATACTTGTTTATGACAAAAAATTATAATGTTCTTCAAATCATTAATTTTTTCCTGATAGTAAAAATTACCTGCATTCATCAATATTAGTGTAGTGTTTGAGATATTTGTTTTGAAACAGACAATAGACACTTGTACATGAAATATAAATCAGTCTGTTTTGGAATATCATTTTCCCTTTCTCTTTTATTTTCTTCAATTTTTTGCTCTTTCTTGAGGGACCCTAACCCCTTTTTCCCCACCCCAGGATCTGCCCCTTAATATTTTCATTTTCATATGCTGTATATAATAATAATAATAACAATGACTTTATTTGAAAACGGAAAACTTGATCACAAATTAAATGTGTTTTTCACAAGGCTGTTTCTGAAGTACATAATAACAAAATTTAAATTTACAAAAACAATTACAAGACAAACAGAAATAAGGAAGTAAAAGAAACCAAAATAAAACAATTACTGTATTATCTTCTGTCTCTTATACACATCTAGATGTGTATAAGAGACAGTAATAAGGATGATGTTGGTGATGATGAATGACGTTGATTATTTTTATTTATTTTATTTCACTAAAATCCAACAGAGATATACATTGTGCATAAAATTATATCAAAAAACAAAAACACCAGCTTCTGAGCTTGAATCATATCTTTGTAATAATTTTAGCAGCCCTATTTTGTAATATTTGAATTTTATTTTGTAGAGTTTGAATGCATCGCCCCCACACAACATTGCCATAATTAAAATGTGGTGCAATTATTGACTTGTATAGCATTGAGTGTATGTTTGGGGGAAAGATATAATTACTTTTCCTAAGGTAGTATAATCCAGGAAGAACTTTGTTTATTACATTATCAATTTGTTTATTCCAAGTTAGATTTTTATCTATGATTACCCCAAGGTGTTTACAGTGATCAACACTCTTTATGTTTATACCATTGATGTTTATATTTAGATTTGAGTAATTTATTTTTGCTAATTTTTGATGAGTACCTATAATCATATATTCAGTTTTGTTGGCATTCAAAGTTAATTTGTTTTTTGTTAGCCAGTTTTTAACATTTATTAGATCAGAATTTGATTTAATTGCTATATCATTAACATTCTTCGCAGTACAATGGATTACTATATCATCTGCGTAAATACTTGTTTTGCAATTAGAAACACAGTTTGGGAGGTCGTTTATGTAAAGTATAAATATTAATGGTCCAAGAATTGAACCTTGTGGTATCCTGCAAGTGCTACGGCAGCGTTCAGAAGTCACTCCGTTTATTTTAGTTACGTGTGTTCGGTTTTGCAGAAAATTTTTAAATCATTTTATTACATGTGGATGAAGATTAAAGTTGTGTAGCTTATTAATTAAACGATCATGGTCAACAGTGTCGAAAGCTTTTTTGAGATCTAACATTACTAATCCTGTAAGATTACCTTTATCAATCGCGTCAATCCAGTCTTCAGTAATGTTTTAACAGAGCGGAAGTAGTTGAGAATTTTGGTTGGAATCCTGATTGCTGTTCATAAATTAGAGGGTCAATGAAAGGATATACCATTACTGTTAGTATCTCGTGGATTATTCTTATGTTTTGACCTTTTAAAAATGCCTATTTGTTTACAATTGGTTGAAAAAAAATATTGAATTGAATTGAATATAACTTCACCTATATTACAACCTTCCCTTTAAACCTTACATATCTTATGAATCTCGCTTATCTTACTGTCCAACATTTATCTAGTTGAGTGCAGGGAATATCAGTGTGTTAGGTTGATGGTTAAGCTGATAACAGAAATTGTCATTCAAAATCTCTAGTGAATACGCAGGGACTTATTCAAAATTGAGCTTAATTCCAGCTTTATCAAATCCATGTTTGATAAAATCTCCAGAGGGAGGCGAGATCATCTGCTAGAACAGCAAGTACAATGGGTTGCACATAGAACAAGAGAAAGTATTATCAACACACCTGGAAACAGTTTTATTTAATAATGAAGTTGGCACTGCCACGAAAATAAACCCATGAATGTACATCAATCAATATCCGGCTGATATCTAGCGGGAATTACATGCTTCCCGGTTATATTTTGTCTGATTTTCTTCACTAGAATTTCTGTACAAAAGTTTATCTCTATCAAGATTGAAGCCAGCATATAATCAACCTTTCAAGATCTTGTTTATTTTGATTAAATTGTACGTTTTTTTTTTTCTTTTTAGCTGATGTTGGTGGTTTCTTTAAAAATCCTGAACCTGAACTATTAACCAGATGGTATCAGGTATGGCCTGAGATCGTTTTATTTTATAAAAAAGAGTTAAATAAAAATTCTTAAACAGAAACAATTATCTTGGAGTAAGTAAATTAATGCCAATTAGCTATATAAAGTCCTCATATACAAATGACAATAAAATTTATGAAGAAAAAGAGGAGCCCATTGTGTTTCTTTACAAGGTCAGTCAGGGGTTTGTGTGGCTTTTTATCATACTTCATTATTACACTTATGATAAGTGAGTGCTTCTTGAATTAAATGAAGCTATAAACAGTGGCATATTTAGGAGTTTTGAAGTGGGGGGCTGATGGGGATTGATGATTAACGGAAGGGCACTAGGTTGAAAAATAAGGTGATTTTTAACTACATGTGCATAATTATTTTGCTTCAAACATTTTCAATGGAGGGAGACTGGGGGGGTGCGCACCCCCTTGATAAACCACTGGCTATAAAAATTATGACACAGCCAATCACAGGATGCAGTAGTCATGATGTTTACATTTTACCTGGCATAGGAGAATAAATGCTAACCCTAAATTAATTCTGCTACTTAAAAGTATTAAATGATCACCATCACCATTTATTAATTTTATAGGCCGCAGCGTATCAACCCTTCTTCAGGGCACACGCTCATTTGGACACCAAACGCCGAGAACCATGGCTACAACCAGCTAACAACATGGCTGTAATCAGAAGCGCTATTCGTCAACGTTATGCTCTACTACCGTTTTGGTACACGCAGTTCTATATATCATCACTGAATGGAGCACTTGTAATGAGGTAAGCTTTATCCTTAAGGAATAAGATATAATAGATCTTTCTTCTAAGGCCACCCCTTGGATGCTGTTACTAATGTCCTTAAAAAAAAAGACGTGTAAACATACATAAACACATGCATTTTTGGGACAAACATGCGTTTGAGGTACACGCATGTAAATCTTAGCAGTGTTTTGATTGGTCATTTTTTAAAGTTTGATTGGCACTCCGGGAACCTCCATTACTTTCCCTCTTGACCTCTGTTGCTCTTTTTTCTACTCTATGCCAATCCCATTCTGTTTCCTCATCATTAGTATTTAAAAGTGTTTTTCCATCTACGATAGATTTATTATTAAGAGGGGCCATCCTAGTCTGTAGAATTTTGTTATTGAATGTAAAGGGATGACCCTTCCAGCTTATTCCAGAAGGCTGGCTGATATTAACAAGTCTAATAAATAACTAAAATATTGTGATAGGCCTATAACCTTTTGGTACTAGCAGAACATTCAATATAAAGAGGGTAGACAAAACAAAACATCCAATTTTTTTTTTTGCACTTTATAAATCCATCAACTGAGGACCTCCAGTGGTACTCTATGGGAGCTTTGGTAATAAAAATTATAAACACTATAATATATCTAAAAGAATAATCTACTCCACCTACATGTGTGCTACTATACTACAAGTCTCTATACAACTTCAAATACAGGTCTAATTAAAGTAAAGATCGCCGCTAATTATAGACCACCTTTCTGTGGCCCCAAATATTTTTTCTTTATTTTCGTAATAATAATTTTTTAAATTAAAGAGCAGAACTGCTTAGTTTTCTGCAAAATAATATATTTATTATACACTACATACAAATATTCAAAACTCCTGAGATATAATAAATAATGAAAGGAGTTGTTATTAATCAGATTTTAGGAAATAGAATGTGTGTTTCTCTCTACTTTACATAGCTCAGTACAACTTAGACATATGTGTGATATGTACTACATATAAACATGCACATTTTTGAGGTGTATTTAAAAAACTGAAAGCATGAATGATGATTAATAAGATTACAGACGAGGAAGGAAACTTAGGAACTGGAATTTTTTTTTCTGTTTCTCCTAAAATATTATATTAAATTACATTTCCCAGGAGGTCTGTCAAGAAAGCAGCTGCCTTTACAAAAGTCTAGCAATTTTATATGTGTGTGGATGATGTGTTAAATATAATATGATCATCAACTCTTTGACATGTTAAAAAAGATTATTAAACTATTGGGTCTGTTATTACAAACAAGATGGATGTATATAATGATACTGTATGTCAGTGTGCAGAGCCTGCCACCCAGTAGCACTTCCCTATCTTACTTGTTATTTTAATAATAATCTTTTTGTATATGTTGATATTGCTGATGATTTTATGATGATTTATAAACCTAGAATTTCTAAATGTTTAAATGTCACGTGAATATATATGACTGTATTGAAACAATTATAAAGTGATTGATATTTTAATTTGTAGTATCAATTTTCCAAAGTGTATTATGCATATTTTTTGTCTGTAGCATTGAATTACCAGTTGTATATACTTGTGGTTTGTACAGAAAAATATCTTTATTTTTTAATATGAGATTCATTTACTAATAATATAAGTACTATAATGAATATGTATGTATATATACATACATATTCATTATAGTACTACATAGCGCATACAGCTCTTCACAGTATGCACTCTATAAGCAACCATTATTGTTAATTCATGGAAATCAGAGCCCTTTCACATCTATGTTAACAAATATGAAAAATTTATTTATTTATTTTATTTTATTTTTATTATTTATTTAGGCACACAATACATGTGCCAAGGATTGTCAATAGCGAATATATCACTATCCTACTTGAAGGTGACAATCCCTTACATAAGACAAACATATACACACGATGCTTTACACAAACTAAATCTCTATATGAGATTTAGGGAGTGGAGTTGTTTTGGTCGGAGAAAAAATCCTGCAACACTGACAGGAATTGAACCCCTGGGATTGGAAGGCAAGCATCTTAACCACCAAGCTATTCAACTCCACTCAAAGAAAAGAATTATTTGATATCACTTCCTTTATTTTACAGACCGCTGTGGGCACAATTCCCTACAGACACCAACACATTTAAGACTGAGGATGAGTACATGATAGGTAAGTCCATGATTTTTAACAGTTCATAAAATTAATGTCAGTCAAGATACTGAATAGTTTTGTCTGTTAAAGGGTCGTCCATTATTTTCGTTAGTTTCACAAGTATACAAAACATACTCTTTCCTATTACCTCCCTCCCCTTTACGGAGTCCAGAATATAATGATGATTTTTGTAATTTTGCAATTACAATTTTATGTATAACATAGTACCAATATGCCTACACTGTCAGCACCCTCCCCTAAAGCGTATGTTTTGTACTGTTAAGAATGTAGTAGATAGTCCCTAAGAAGGGATTAATTCTTGTCTTTTGCTGAATCATCTTGCCAACTGAGACAACTTCAATCTTTCTCTCACTTGTCATATTAAGATATCAGTACTCAAAGGTGATTGGCCGGCTTCCGCGTTTTCCCAACAACATTTTGTCGATAAATCATAAGCTTCCTGTTAGTAGCTTATCAGTCAAGAAACCAAAGCAACCATATACCTACACTGGCATATCTAGGGGTTTTAAGTTAGGGGAACTACTTTAGTTTGATTTCCTTGTTTCAAACATTTCCAGTGGGAGCAAGGAGTGGGGCACAAGCTTTTTTGGGGAGGGCATATAGCCCCTACTCTATTTTTTTTAAAAATAACATAAGAGCAAGCCCGAGTGTAGGTAATTTTCTTTGTACAGTAATAGTCACTTTATGTTTATTATTGTTTATTTGTTTTGTACTAGGGAAATGAAATTCTGAAATATAAATGCTGAATGAATGAATAATTATTGTGTAATGATTTGTATAGTTTTTGTAGTTGGTTTACCTATTTACAAATATGAATTATTTCATTTGAAAATATTAAACTTTCTTAAGTATCAAAAAGTATTGATACCTGATATGTACAGTCACCATATTGTAAATAATACCCCATAATAAATTATGAAAGTAGTTCTGTGTTTGTAAGTAGGTCATTGAAAAGGTTCTTTGAATTATGTCGTTAACATACAGACTCTAAACAAGCCATCCCACAATACACTGTGGTGCAACATTGCTTATCATGTACTGAACATCCTGGGGAGACATGGCTATGAATGCACCGCAGAACATCTTAATAAATACATAAATATAATAATAAAAAAAATGAGGTTTTTATAGCGCACATTTCCATTTACAAAAAAAAAATGCCTGATGCAGTTAAGAAGAATAGAAATTGGATATTTAAAGCAAAGAAGTTACCTGAGAAATATATTATCATTCAATTAAGCTATGAAATATCCTAGAAAATAACTCAAACTTACAGTGGACAGTTAATGTTTTAAGCCCTATCCACACACTCAAAGTTTATTTGACATAAATATGTCAGAATGCCTATAAATATCACATCAAAACCATATGTAGGCAGATATGACCATATATGGATATACAACATATATGGGCATACAAATTTGATTGAAGAGTGCTTTACAGTACAATATTGACCTTGGTCCTTATTTTATTATAAATTATTGACCCCAATTTAAAATATTGACCCCTTACTATAATTTTATTTATTCATTCTGTTTTTATTATCAAAAGTCATTGCAGTAAAACATATATGAATTGCAGGTAAATTTACAAAATTACAATATTATTTAAAGATATAAAATTATTGATATGCAACTGGAGGAAGAACCTTAAAACACAGAGAGAAAAACGGGAAAAGCTCACAGTGTAAAAAACAAAACAAAATCAACATCACAAAAAAAAGAAAAACACCAAAAAGGAAGATTACACCAAAACATACATTTGAAAAAAGACGAACACAAACACCTTAACATTTGTATAAGGGAAAATGATTCACACCAGGACAAAACAACAAAAACAATACAAACTCATTTTGTATGCGTTACATAATTAGTTAAAATTAAGTAATGAAGTAGATGTACTTCATACAGGGGTCCATATTTTAATATAATTATTTGTGGGTGAACATTTTGTAAATATATTATACAATTGTTTCATATTGTAACATTCCGTAATGTAAAATAACCTGAGCATATGAAAGATAGAAATGGATGAATAAATATTTTTTACAGGGAATTGTTATTATTTTACAGTAATAAAATAGTAACTTTTTCGCTAAGCCTCGCCCCTCCGTTATTGTTGGAAAGTTCCCACAAAATGATAGTTTTAACATACACAAGCATGTGCATATTTGGAGCAACACATGTGTTCGTAGGGTATGTGCATTTTTCGGGCCATGTTCTAAGTGGTCAGTTGTTAAGTTTGATTGACATTTTGGAAAGGTACATTTTTAACCGTGATAAATTTTTACCTAAATTCAGGTTCCCTACACTGGCAGTGCACCAAACGAATACTAATACTTCACATTTTTTCATTTTATAATGATTATAATTATGAACAATTTAAAATTTGGCTTTAAATTTAATTTTGAGTGACTTAGCAGACAATTCTTTATATACTTGTAATTCTTAATACATGCATTAATAATATTCTCATTGTTTTTTGTCTTATTCTTTCCTGTTAGGCAAGTCTCTATTAGTTCACCCAGTCACCTCTAAAGGAGCAACAGCTGTTAATGTATATTTTCCAGGCAAAGATTCTGTAAGATTCACATAATTTTATTTTAGTATTTACTCACACAAATAAGAATAGGCACTCTTGGGATTATATGCTATGAAAATGGAATGGGCTGCAAGCCAATCTAGTGCCATTTGTAATGGATTTATTGAGGTGTGGAATGACGCATCGTTCATCCGTTATAAATATATTTAACTTTATCATGTAAACCTTTTCTTTGGAATGTATTGTTTGTATAATGTGTTAAATTTTGCATAAATTGTATTAATCAACATTAACAAATACAATCATATATAATGTACAGTTTTTATAGATATATTATATTTATTTATTTTTATGATTAAATTTTTATCTAGGTAATGTAAACTAGATAAAGTAATTGCTGCGAAGCAGCCAATTCATATTTTTGACAGCAATTTGACCTCTGAAAGGTCATTGTTTGTCAAAAAACAAGGGCCTAAGGCGAGTGAAAAGCGGAGTTTCCTTCTTTCGTTCTGCCGGGTAAAATCAATTACTTTAGGTGACGCATGTGGCGACGCTCGAGTATTACTATTCAGCGTTTTTACTATATTTCTAGGTTTCCTATTTCTACGTTTAATCTGCCCATGTCTCAGCCACAATATTTTGAGGCCAATATTATTTACGAACCCAGTTAAACTTATTTACTAGCCTATTTCAACATGCTAATTATTACATTTAGGCGACGCTTGTTGTAGACTGGCATACACGGTACCAGTGCTCGTTTTTACAATGTTTCTACGTCAGCTTGTCAGTGTTCTAATATAGACAATGGGTCGTACGTGTCTCATATTATTTGTTATATTTTTATTATTCATTATTTTCACTTGACTCGCATAAATAATTTTGTTCGAAGAACATTTATATGCAGTTGTACTTCGCAGCACTTCACTTGCAATTTGCAATTTCTAGTCTTAGGGAATAACCCTTGACTGGTCTTAATTTTGTTTACTTGGGCCCAGCAACTAAATTCAAACCTGTGCTGTGATAAGGCTAGCTGCGCCCTTGTCATACTGTTTAATCACTTAGCTTGCTCTAGCGTATACAGTAGCACTCGGTGTTCCAAATACAGTCTCCAGTCAATCATGTAGCTTGCGCTAGCGTATAGCACTCAGTGTTCCAACCAAGTCTCCGGTCAATCACTTAGCTTGCTCTAGCGTGTGGCACTTGGTGTTCCAAATACAGTCTCCAGTCATACTGTTTAATCACTTAGCTTGCTCTAGCGTATAGCACTCGGTGTTCCAAATACAATTTCCGGTCATACTGTTTAATCACTTAGCTTGCTCTAGCGTATAGCACTCGGTGTTACAAATACAGTCTCCATCCAGGTGTTTCAGAGTAATATGGCCTTAGACCAATAGTACAATATATAATACCAGCACATGACTAATTAGAATATTATAGTCAGGTTTATAACTACTGTATCTGAGAATATTCTTAATATTGAAGTTATTGATGAACTTGATAATTTTTTTTTCTATTAAAAGATCTGGTACGATGTTCAGACTTACAAATCATATACTGGAACTAAGTCTATCTCAATATCAGTTACACTGGAAAAGGTATGTATGAAAAGCATGGACTTGAAGTAAAGTTGTGGCATTCCTAGTACAGGGCTCATCTTCCAATCTTGATGTTATAAGTTCAATCCATACATGTGAATTTCAACCTTTACCATTCTTCATCTTAACTGTTTTATTCATTTCAAAATTTTTAGTAATAATACAGTGTCAGAATTTGGGCTATAGCTCTGGTATTTTTTTTTTTTTTAATATCTGAATAAATAAATATAAATAAATAACTATATAGGTGGTGGATGGTTAAGTTGATTGATAGATTGGTGGAAAGAAGAATGGATTGATGGATTGAAGGAAGGAATGAACGAACAAAGAAGCAAAGGAAGGATGGAGGAGTAAACTACATTAACAGCCTTCAGATTAGATGTACATAAGCCAAAAGTTCTTTTATACACTTCAGACTAGGAAGGCAGCACATGTACAAATATGACTTGCATTGTTTCTAAACAATAATACAGTACTGTACAAGCATTAGTTGGCAGTCAACCTCTCCGTATCTCTCTATGATTTCTCCACATCGGCCGTCTGGTGCCCTTCGGCGTCTCTCTGCCTCAAAATACATAAAACAGTTCATGGATTCTGCCCTTGTCCATCAAATTTTCATAATTTGTATTTGATCTAGTTTACTTTTACTTTCTCTATGCATGTGCCATACTTTTTTTTTTTAAATTTACAAACAGTAATTGTCTTCTTATGTCTTTGTTACTCATTCTTTAAACATTATTTTCTGTGAAGTTTAATGTACCGTCAAATGTAATGTTTTTGGCTGACCATCAATACTGTAGTTTTGCCAAGAATTTTATGTTACCTATATCATTAAACTGGTAGAGTATTGAATTCTTCACTCGCCCGTCAATAATGATAATAAAATAAAATTTTTAGTGCACAGGCGGCCACGAAGAAATGAAATTTCAGAAAAATGTTTTTCTTTATTTTAATTATTTTCGCCGCTGCCTTGAAATCTCCAAAAATAAGATATGTATGTTTCTTCCTAATTATATAAAGCAATTAACCATCCCATATACTACACTATTTACATTCACCAATAAAAGCGTATGTTTATTTTCTCCTCTATACGGATGTTTTTGGAAAAATTATTTGCTAAAATAAAGAAAACAAATTTATTGTTATTCTTTTTCCAGCCTTCTGATGATCTTTAAAATAATAAGTTCACGAAACAAGGTATAAACAGAGTCTCAACTTAGTATTGTTTAGGAAGGAAGAGAGAGAGAGAGAGAGAGAGAAGGTTAAACTTTAGTATTTAGTATTGTTTAGGGAGAAAGGGTAACATTTAATACATTCAGACAGAGATGGTAAAGTTTATTAAAGTTTAACATGGGATAACATTTTGTAGTTTTTCTTATTTGACATCCTGTAATTATTTGTAAATATTTTAGGGGTTCTTTCAAAGTTTGCCACTGCCATTAAAGTGCACAAATGTTTTTGATAGTATATTTCATAACCTGACCTTTTCAACAAACAGTAGTCACAATTTCTCTCTAAATCTGAATATGCCACTGTAGTTTACACTGCTTCATCATTAATCAATTTATTCAGCTACATACAACTACAGCATGCAGCTGGCCTTTGCTAAGTAGACTTTCAGGCATCTAATAACGTAAAAAGTTTAGATTTTTTTGTGTAAAATCTTGAATCTTGCCAAAAAATGTTGAACCAGTAACATGAACTTTTTGAGTGTATGACTAGTGGTTTAGTATTATTAAAAAATGATGGTGTGTATTATACAGCAAGGCAATCCCAAAAGAAATTAAATTATGATGATATTACAATTTCTGCTTTTTAAAGGAATTGCTTCAACAGTGGTATCATTTTTAAACATTTCTCACAACAGTCTCATGTTGGTGTTGTCTTATGTTCACATTGTAAGAACTGAAACTTACAACCTCATTATGATACTTAAGTCCTGTTCTCATTGTATTGTATTAAAGATGTAATGTATTTTACGCTTGTAATCCAAATTCCTTTGAATTTTATTGTATTTAATGACGTAATGCTTTTTTTAAAAAAATGTTTTAAAATCTTTTTAGCTTGTAATCCAGACCTTTTTTATTGAATTGCCCTACGTGGGATGAATAAAGATGTATTGTATTGTATTGTATTGAATTTATTTGTGTGGGATACAATGAAAAAAAATCAAATTGAGAATTTTAATGTCATGCAAATGTTGATGAGAAACACTCTCGATTGGGCTTGGAATTGCAATTATTTTCCATTCAAGAGAAGTACAATTTAAAAAAATATATTTAAATACAATAATAAAAAAAAATTCAAACAAGTTTCATGTTTCTAAAGGTCATATTTTGAGCATTTAATTTAATTACTGTTTGTTTTCACGCAGATTCCAGTTTATCAGCTTGGTGGCAGTATAGTTCCTAAGAAAGAACGTGTAAGACGTTGTTCAGCGCTCGGCGTCGACGATCCATATACCCTGGTGGTTGCACTTGACGCCCAGGTAAAAAGATAGTGTATATCTAAATATTAGAATATTTAAACATGTGCTGCTTTTAATATTGTCATTAAAAGTAATTCTATCAACTTTGTGTATATTCGTTTAACTTTTAAATTTATTTATGTATTTATGCAAACTTTAAAGATTGGAAGGCCAACCTTTAATCACCAAGCTGCAGCTCCACTTGGTGAATTAACTGTTTACAATAAATCCTTGATAAACTTGTACAGCTTCATCAACAAGTTTGAAATATTTCTGGATAATTTCAATTGTTCAAATTTGATTGATGTACGACGCACTAATTTTTCCTGTAGTATTCCGCCAAGGGGGAGCTGTACATTGATGATGGCCATTCATTTGACTACAAGCAGAATCAATTCTTGTATCGTAGCTTCACATATCAGGATAATAAATTGACCTCTAAGTAAGTACCTTTTTCTCACTTCACAATATCACAGTGCAAAATGTGATGTATTTGATAATCCAACATTGACCCATTGAACCCATTGACATAGAGGTACATCCTTCATTAAAGAGGTGGAAACTTTCATTGCTGAGAATTGCCTATGAATTCCTGTATAAATTTCCTTTGATTTTCTTTTTTATTGGCTAGTATCTTGCATCCATAAATTTATCAAACAGCCTCCACATCCTGTATCTAGTAGGTATGGTTGTGGATTTAGACTTGTTGGTAAATATATTTTGGCTCTTCGCAATTTACCATTTATTAACTTTATGTTTACATATGTACATAATGCTTTCTTTTGGTTTGTTTATGTGCTGAAACCTTTTATTTGTCATGCAAATCCCTTACCCCTAAATATTTCTCCTTCCCCCACTTCTTTTCTTTCCTGAATTTGTAACAAAACATATTGGTCAATTTTTAATGTTTTCTGAGGCTGTGGCTGTCGATCCACCAGTCTTAAAATGAATTCATAATTCTGATTGGATGCAATTGAGTGTCCTAATCTAATCTGTACACACATTAACATCCAATCAGGATTAGGAATTCATTTAAAATTGGTGTAACAGTAGCCACTGCCTTTTTGATAATATCTGACCTTGATCATCTTCTTCCGGAATTCGCAATACTTTTTATTGAAGGCTTTGGCGCAGAAGATATTTAAATATTAATTTTTCTGGCAAGGATATGTTCGTATTTGTTACATTCTGAGTTCTTTTCAATTAAAAGAAATTATTTTTGTCAATGATTTTTAAAATATTAAGGAAGTACAGATTTATGGTTTTGTGTGTGGGTAGTGTCATCCTGTCTGATGTCAATTAATGTTTTTTTTTGTAAATGGAAAGTTGAAAGGTCAGCACATAACAATGATTATGTGATTTTGATTATTCGAAATAAATTCCATATTTTTTGTTTAGTTTTTCCTATTTATTTTACTTATAGTTTACCCAACAAAATACCTATAAAAATGATTTTCATACATACTGTACAACACAAGGTTCTCTATAAAATTTAAATCTCAAATGAGGCTTAAGAAATGGAGATCTTTTGGATCATGAGAGAGAATCTTATAACTTGTACGAGAACTGAATTTGGGTACTTTAGAGTGGAAGGCAAACACCTTAACGTCAGAGCTACGGCTCCACCCGCAGGTTATAGCTTCCCTCCTTGGTTGATATTAACAGATGTTATTATAGAAAATGTATATTTTTTATCAGATTTCTCTTGTTAATTTTTTATCAGTGATGTTGATAGATGGCAAATATTTCATTTATAAAAAACAAAGTTCTCGGATGCGTTTTATTTCCCTGCCACGTTTGCAGACTTGTAATGCTGGAAGGACTTACACAAAATTCTGCCTGGAAAATGATTCACACAAACATCAGAAATCTACTTTATCTTTGTCCAGGGTCTAGATTAATGGCCTACTAACTGCTTTTCCCCCAGTTTTCCCCCAGAGGATTTGCGGTTTGAAGAGCACAGACTTGATACAGACGCTAGTTTCCGTATCAGTAATACAAATATAGTACAAATATAGTACTGGAGGGATTAGAAACTTGAAACCCACCCACACTCTGTGTATCATATAATTCAATCTGCTCGTCCCAGCTTGATAAGATAATTACTCAAATGAACTGAACTAAATGTATACCAGTGTCTGCCCCCATTCAACCTCCACCACTTTTAGTGACCTACAACCTCCGTTTACTTAAACCTCTTATGATAGAATTTAATTGATAGGAGTTCAGTATTATCTCCTCAGGATACACAGAAGTCTATTTTAAGAGATTTATAATTACCAACAAGGTAATAAAGAGGGAATGTGTAATAGTATGGGTAAATCAAGACATAAAATAAAAAAATAAAAAAAAAATTACTAGGACTGCTATAAGTGTCATAATATTGTTTTTCCAGCAAAATAAAATTAAAATTTTAAACTTTAATACTATAATTTTAACATAATTGAAATAGATACATATCCTTTTAAGACAAAAAAATAGTAATATAAATACTGATTATGGATTATTAAGTAGTAACTATAGCAACAGTAATCATATGAGGCATGTTGTATCAAAATGGTTAAGTTGTCGCACAGACAAATATTGAGTAAAGGAGCTATAAAATATGGTAGCTCAAAAAATTGCCTAAAAATCCAATTTTTTTTTTTCACTATAGATCAACAGTTAAATGTCTTATTAATCAATTCCCAAAGTATTAGTTCTGGAAGTGATCAACAAATCGTTTATTTAATGTTATTTAGATAGTTTAATTCTATTAAACAATGTATGCACAAATAACTTTGGAAGGCAATTACTCAAAATCATGTTTATCTTGACTCTAAGGGTGCTGTAATTTCACTTTCCAATAACTTAGGCTTGAAATGTCCAATTTCAATGAATGACCCCTCATTTTAAAGATCATATACTCAGGTATCTGAAAATACTAATAACTTGAATTTCAATTTTTGCTACAACTTAGCCATTTTGCCACAACGTGCCTCATATATTTGATATAGGTTATTTTTGCAGGATGGAATTTTTATTTATTTATTCAGCTTTAGGCACTAGTGTGAAGGTTATGCCAAACAGTGAACTAAATCACTTTTCAAGTGGAAATCCCATCACAAGAATCAGGGTCTGTATGGACCAGTAAACTGGGGTAACCCCCTACTCATCTCAAAAGATGTACTGGGTTCTTTAAAGTACACATGAGCCAAATTGTGTACACTGGGCCTACGGTTTATAGTCCTTATCTGAAAAGACTTGTTACACCTCCTGAACCATAGGCGAGTGTGACGTCCGAACCAGCGCGGATATTAAAGCTGTAGGCCATGGCGCCCATTTTGGAACTTTAGAAAGTTCAAGTTTACAACAAACATTAAATATCAAAAAAATAAAAATAGGAAAGCATAGCACAACCAGTGCCACTATGATTTATTGAAAAATATGGATATTTTTATTATTATTTCCACATAATAAAGGTCATGGTTAGGTCAATCATGGTTGAATCATCTTTCCAGAAACATTGAATCACATCTGAACATCCTTAACACTTAGTAGAATTAATTAAATATAATTGTTTAATAATTAGCTTTTTCATGAAAATAAGAATAATTGAAAGAAAGTATTTTTAAGGGTTTTAAAAAAATTTGAATTGATTTATTCAATATCTCAACTGTACAAAAAAAAAAAAAAAGAAGTCGGAAAAATGAAATAGAGATATTTGGATAACCCTCTAAGTCCCTATTAAAGGACTTACTTCCAGGTGTATAAACTGGTAACTGACAAAAATTTAATTACAAATTCAATATGGGGAAATAAGAAGGCTAAAATGCAGCAAATACATGAAATAGTAAGAAAAAAACAATCGGAAAAATGTTAGCTAATCAACAACAGATAGTATGTGTGAGAAAAGGTGATCCTTCACCAACTTTTTAAAAGCAGTACGATTACTGGGTACAGGCCAACATCAATACTCTGTCAGATGCATAACAAACATTTGATAACAACTAAACATTTTTAGCAATTTTATAATTAACAAATTATTACTAAATATGAAATATTGTGAAGGGTGCAGTCTAACAATTAAAGTATGTCAGGTAACTAAAGCCGCGCACACTCTGCATGTGATGATCGTCAACGTACATTATTTCACGGAGGACAAGATACGACAACATGTCTACAAAAATTGTTTTGTAATGATTCGCTCAGGCTGCCGCCAACATTAAGAAGATGGCATTTGTTTGTTTGTATGTTTTTATTGTTTTTACCACACACACATAAAATATAAACTATTTACGATAATTATTACAATTAAGATTATATTTTCTAAACAATAGCAGAGAAGAAATAAAAAAAGTGTGCGCTAGGAGGTCAAATTTTTAATCGTGCGAGAAATCCACTTATTACATATTTACAGTCGTCCTATTGCTCGAGACGCCTTAAGTTGTGTAAGGACGAGTAAAATACTATAAATAGTCCGTGTGATGACCATTATTTTTACAAATATCTTAAGAAATGTTAATAACCTAATGTAATATCAAAGGGGAGCATCTTCTGAAGGATAATTTGTTGTCCAATCATATTGTTACTTGTTTGTTTTGGTCTGTTTCAGTACAAAACATCTTCACTGTAAATGTTCAACTTCATGATTTGCAGAAAAAAAAAATGTTAGGGCAAGCTAAACTTGTTGAGGACAAATACAATATGACACAAGCTTGCCCTGCTGACCACTAAGAGAAAATCTTAATATGGGACCTGCTGGTAGTCGCATATGGCAAAAGACTTTTGTAGGTGGAATAAAAACCTTAGAAACTTGTGAAAAGGTATGAGAGTTGAGGAGTAGGAAAAAGATATGTGCAGTAGTGGTTACATAGATTTGTGGAAAAGCATTCCAAACAAGTCAGGCAGTGAGGTTCTAAAACAAAAATACCTGGAATTTACAGTCAGGGTTTCTGAGTAAAAGTCTATTTGGTGTCGAGGAAGGGAGAGATTTTATGGCTTGGGATGGTAAAAGTTTTTCTATCGACCACAATATTAGAAGCTACATTAACTTTGATTGGCAAGTAGCGTCAGAAGACATGGAGTCATGCTTGTTTGATGGGGACATTTTACCCTATGCTATTATGCTACTACTGTTTATAAATGATTGTTTGATAGTATTATTTAAAAAAAATCTGTTAATTGGATTTTCACTTTCAATGTCATATTATTTTCATAAGTATGTGATTCATTATTTTATATTAAATTTAATTATATTTGTTCTAGATTAGTGTATGATTGATTTAGATTAGATTTTTCATCAATTTGAGTTAAAAGTTGAAATGAATATTAATTATATTTTATTTTATTCAGGTATGAAGCACTTTACAAAAGGCAGAACAAGTCTGAAATTATTGCATTACAATGAAAAACAAACATTTACAGAAAACATTTAAATGTACTAGAAAAAAAAAGAGCAAT